GAGTAATTCGAGATTATATTGGGATGACATCAAACACGTTCAAGAAACGTTATTATAACCACAAGACATCATTCAAAGAGACGAGCTATGTAAAATCCACTGAGCTGTCCAAACATATATGTATATATATATATATATATATATATATATATATATATATATATATATATATATATATATATATATATATATATATATATATATATATATATATTGTATGCATTTCATTTAGGACAGATAATCTCAACTGTTTTAGGGCAAGTTGACCATGACGGTCAACATGGTAACGCTGCCCGAACCCCAATCCGGGACGAAACGTCCGAAACTGACCACACCCAAAAACGACGCCTTCGCCATACTGCTATCTACCAAACCATAAAAGCTTTGGCTATTCTGAGGTGCTTATATGGTTCAGAGATGGTACTTTTGGGGGTGGTCATTGGTAAGTGTGAAATGCCTAGCACTAATATTTCACAAGAAAATGGCCATGCAATAATCATAGTTAAACGTCATTTTGTGGCTTGCAAATTCAGATAAACAGCAGTGGACTTACATTACCTTTTTCCCTAAATCTTTTTGATAGAAACATAAATGGTACTTATTTAAATATATTACCACTGGTTTGGTGTAAAATAGTTAATATTTTCTGACCGAAATAATAATTTGAAATGTGCCTACCTCCTGCAAATGGACGTATTTGGCCAAGTTCTCCACTTTACTCCACTGTTTATCGTAGATCTCGTCGACATCCTACAAAAAATGTAAATCATCTCAGACATAATGGTATCAAGAACATTTTAAACAAGTTTCAACTTGGTTTCAAGTAGATCATACCTGTTTAACCATCGACAAGGTAAATCCACAACTTTGTCCAAATTTGGCGCCATTTTGTCATCCCATGTCGCTTGTTAACAATTCAGCCTTGTTACTCTTCCATCCAAGCCATTTCCATTCCACTAATAATAAATTTAACCCTTTATAACAGGAGGAAACTACAAAATCTAAACAAAATATAAGAAATACGCCATTTTATCACCATGTAAAATTTTGCTCACGAGTCTTTCAAAACATTCCGCACAAATATCGCGTGACAAAGTAACAGGGACGTGACAGGAGGGGGTGAATTATTTCACGAAGATAGAAGAAGGCTGCGTGAAATAGACTAAAAGCTAAATACAATCATACAAATGTTTGTTTTATTTCTTGTAGCGACAAATATATACATATTATTATTTATTAATATGAAAAAGTCATACAAATTAAATGTTGATTGTTGGTTTTACCATACTGTGTGGGCTTTCCTTTCATTTTTCAAGTCTCTACCCCCCCTGTCACGTCCCTGTTGCTAAACCACGCGAGATTTGTACGGAATGTTTTGAAAGACTCGTGAGCAAAATTTTACATGGTGATAAAATGGCGTATTTCTTATATTTTGTTTAGATTTTTTAGTTTCCTTCTGTTATAAAGGGTTAAATTTATTATTAGTGGAATGGAAATGGCTTGGATGGAAGAGTAACAAGGCTGAATTGCTAACAAGCGACATGGGATGACAAAATGGCGCCGAATTTGGACAAAGTTGTGGATTTACCTTGTCGATGGTTAAACAGGTATGATCTACTTGAAACCAAGTTGAAACTTGTTTAAAATGTTCTTGATACCATTATGTCTGAGATGATTTACATTTTTTGTAGGATGTCGACGAGATCGCCGATAAACAGCGGAGTAAAGTGGAGAACTTGGCCAAATACGTCCATTTGCAGGAGGTAGGCACATTTCAAATTATTATTTCGGTCAGAAAATATTAACTATTTTACACCAAACCAGTGATAATATATTTAAATAAGTACCATTTATGTTTCTATCAAAAAGATTTAGGGAAAAAGGTAATGTAAGTCCACTGCTGTTTATCTGAATTTGCAAGCCACAAATTGACGTTTAACTATGATTATTGCATGGCCATTTTCTTGTGAAATATTAGTGCTAGGCATTTCACACTTACCAATGACCACCCCCAAAAGTACCATCTCTGAACCATATAAGCACCTCAGAATAGCCAAAGCTTTTATGGTTTGGTAGATAGCAGTATGGCGAAAGCGTCGTTTTTGGGTGTGGTCAGTTTCGGACGTTTCGCCCCGGATTGGGGTTCGGGCAGCGTTACCATGTTGACCGTCATGGTCAACTTACCCTAAAACAGTTGAGATTATCTGTCCTAAATGAAATGCATACAAACTCATATACAGGTCCTAGACTAATAGTACAAACTGTTACAACAGTCTAAATGACTTGTCACAAATGAATTAATTAGTATTTGAGCGGTTTCATGTGTCAGGAACTTTCTTATCCGCCTGATGTTGAATAGGTGGAAAAATGCCGCCTTACAAGATCTGTTCACATTGGTATCGCACTTCATTTGAGAATCAAGCCAAAATCCTAGATCTTTAGCTTTACTAGACGCTGTGACGTAAGAATCACCAATACGCAAAATATCAAAATTGACTTTTTCGAGCTGTTGTCGTGTACCAATAATAAAAAAATCGGTCTTACCGTCGTTAAGTTTGAGTTTATCATTTAGCATCCATGTTTTAATATCATCAATAGAATTTTCCATGGCAGTAACCGCAGACAGTTGTTCAGACATTGAATCTAGATGGTATGTAGTCGCATTTCTGAATGTTTTTACACGAAAACAAGACAAGAGAAAATATCCGCGGTTTTGGTAATAAGAAGAAGAGCTGATCCCAGACACCTTGTGAAGTTGTGGGCTGGAGATAAAGGGGACAAAGGATGTAAAACTGAAGATGGAAGACTGAGATTGATCGACTGTGAAGATATCAAGGAACCCACGGTGGACGTGATAAACGACAAAAAAAGAATAAAGGACAACAATCGGGGTAGCAGACGACAGTAAGTTTGGAACTAGAGCAAACAAAAGAAAAACTAGCAGAAAGGCTAACGGGGTGTCACCGAAGAACATTTCATGCGTCCGAAAATTAGAGAACAGAAAGAAATTTTGCCCGAGGTTTGGCATTTTGTCCGACTGATCCAAAATATTTTTGTGCGAAACTTCCGACGGGGGGGGGGGAGGAAGGGGTTGACACTATTTTCGCCGGCAGGGGTACGAATTTTGGAAAACCTTACATATTTCTTGCTTTTAAATTTATCCCCCTTCTTGCACAACTTATGACGCCCCCCCCCCCCTCCTGGGTCGTACGCTTAGGTTTGAGACTTTGAGTGTATTTTGATTATCCAAAAGTTGAAAAATGATACCTGTTTAGTTTTTGCTCCAGCGAAGTCGCTTCATCTTGAGACGTGTTGTAATGGATCATAACGTGATAACCCATATCGTGAAGTTTTGTTGCAATAATAGCGCCAATACGTTTTGCTGCACCAGTGATTAAAGCGACATGTTGCCCACTTTTTCCAGGAATCTTTCCGTTTTGCAATTTCTCGTAGTCAACTGATCCATCCGCGAGCGCAGAAAAATTGCCGTTTGTTAATTCTTTGTTGTTTGCGTCATATATATCGACGATCGGAAAATACGACGTGAAATTTTTGCCACAAAGTTCCACTGCTATTGAGCTTAAAGATTTCTTCTCCACTGGATGCATAAAATCTGGAGTGAGATCAGCAAGTGGTATAATCACGTGAGCTAGGCTAAGTATATCAGGATCAGGGATAACATACGGGATATCTTCTGACGTCATCTTGAACTGTATCGTGTTCTCACCCCACAATACAATGTCGATGTCCATTGTTCTGGGAACGTTTTTATTTCCCGGAACACGTCCTAGTTGCGTTTCGAGCTCGCGAAGAATCTTCTTTAACCTTCAATAAGGATTTAAGAGGAGATTTTGAAAATACAGAATAAAAAGGTTAATTTAATATTTAAAACATTGTAAGCGCTTGACTTAAACAACGTGAGTTCCCTGGAAATACTGAACAAATATAATAGCGAGCTTACAGATGTAAGACGGCGACGTCGGGACGACGACTAAACAAAAGTGTTTGAAATAAACAGTTGTTGGAAATCGTTCCTTGTATTTATTTTCGTGCGAATTTAAAACAGTTTCGAAAGCGTAAAACAGAGCTTTATCCTTCATAGCAATTTTGATAACCTCTCGGCTAGAAAACTACTATATGAGACGTGAAAATATGTATTTTACCGTTGTCGAGAGAGCTTGGGATCCAAGGCATTTTTTAATACCATGGACTGGTGGGGCATTTGCCCCACTGCATGGGTCCCTTCCTCTGCCCCACCACTGAAGAAAGGCCTATTGCCCCAAAGCCAGGGCCCTAGGACCTGTTTTGAGTAAATGAGTTTTAACTTTGAAAAGAAGTTTAAAAAACAAAAATTTCCCACCACTGAAGAGAAAAACTGGCCTATTGCCCCAAAGCCAGGCCTGGCCTTAGGACCTGTATTGAGTAAATGAGTTTAACATTGAAAAGA